ATGTACGGAGGACACTTTGGTGCCATAACTTTTTTTCGGAACACTTTGGTGTCAAGTCGGAGGAAAAGAGATCACTTAAGTGCCAATTTGGCCGGAAATCCGACGTGGCATTTTTTATTAATTTTTTACGCCGACGTGGCTCGCCGGAGGATGAGTCAGCATGTACAGTCAGCATTTTTTATTTTAAATAATTTTTTTTCCAACGTGTACAGTCAGTATTTTTTATTTTAAATAATTTTTTTCCTTTTTTTTTCTCTTCTTTCCTTTTTCCATTCTTTTCTTTTTTTTCTTTTCTCCCCTTGCCGGCCGGTTGCTTGTGGCCGGCCCGGCCACCAGCGAAGCCCGGGAAGGGCTGGGCGAGGGCGGCCTTGCCCATGGCCGACGAGGCCGCCCCTCGCCCATGGCCGGAGAGGGGCGGCCTCGCTTGTCGCCGGCGAGGGTCACCTCGCCCAGATCTGGCGAGGCCACCCCTCGCCGACCATGGGCAAGGCCGCCCTCGCCCAGCCCTTCCCGGGCTTCGCCGGTGGCCGGGCCGGCCACCGGCAACCGGCCGGCGAGGGGAGAAAAGAAAAAAAAGAAAAGAAAGGAAAAAGGAAAGAAGAGGAAAAAAAAAAGGAAAAAAATTATTTAAAATAAAAAATGCTGACTGTACATGCTGGAAAAAAATTATTTAAAATAAAAAATGCTGACTGTACACGCTGACTCATCCTCCGGCGAGCCACGTCGGCGTCAAAAATTAATAAAAAATGCCACGTCGGATTTCCGGCCAAATTGGCATTTAAGTAATCTCTTTCCTTCCGACTTGGCACCAAAGTGTTCCGAAAAAAAGTTATGGCACCAAAGTGTCCTCCGTATGCAACTTATGACACTTGTAGTGTCCTTTTGCCGAATTTAATATATAGTCAACTTTTAGCAAATCATACAACAGGAATCTGAATACGTTAGAGAGATGAAAGCGAAAGCTGATGGAGGGGGCTGGTTCATATGACTTTCATCACTAGAAGTAGTACAGATTTAGGCAGACCGATTAGAAAAACAAGGAGGTACTGGACCTCCGCTACCATCCCAAAAACCATTTCTCAAGGAAATTTCTCATCTAAAACATACCTCAGTAACCAAATACTGCACGGAAACAATAAAATAGCAAACCTGATGATACCCACTGGCCCAATCATTCCCAGCACCTCCTCCATGATCAGACACAAATATGTTCTCATGATTGTAGAGATTCCGATATTCACTGTTCTTGAATACCATTTATTAATCTAGGCTCCAAATCCATTCAATATAGCCCTCGGAATACAGTGCTGATTATCAGCTTGATAGAAAAACACATCAGTTTTCACTTTCTTCTCTCCAACGTATTCAGATTCTTGTTGTATCATTTGCTAAAGTAGAGTATTAAATTCTGATCATTGTTGCTAATATGAAAACCTTTTTCTGCCCTATTACAGGCCACTTAACGATTGGAAGTATTGAGAAAGAAAATCTCCTAGTTAAAAACAAGTTTGGGGTAAAAAGAATGATAGACATAAAAAACGAGTTTGGGTTAAATGTGTAAAGCGTATACAAGTTTGGGATATTTGGTGATCCAAAACATTAGTTTGGAGTAGGGACGAGCGATTCCAGGTTCCGTACAGGTTCCATATGGAATCTGAAACCTACCCGTCGGAACAGGTTCCTTAGTTTTTTGGAACCTAGAACCTACCCTGCATACCATACCCTGAAACCTTTCCTGTCAAAGGTTCCAGGGTCTACTCAGGTTTCAATTATTATTAATTGAACGATTGCAGTGAATCATCACCTTTAATGACTACTACTTGCTATTACAATCCATTGGCCACAATTTATATTTAGACATACGAAGAATACGAAACATTAACAAAGTAAAAGTCTCAATTATAAAATGAAAGCTCAGACTAATCGTTCAAAATTATACACTCATCATTAGACGTCAGAGAATACTGCAGGATCACGCGAAGACATAGACCAAGAAAAATACAAAAACTTGTTTCAGGTTTTACCTACGTAGAACCCGGAACCTACTCGTCTAAATAGGTTCCCCAATTTTTAGAAACTGGAACTTAAATTTGTCACAAATATACCGGTTTTGGGCTTTTTGTGGCATTAACCCAATAATAAATAAGAAATGAATAATTAAAGTAAGTAAAACAGAGGTTCCAGATTTTATCGTGATAAAATAGACTTTTTCGTGGAGATGAATCCAACCATGCGCTTTGTTCAACCCAGTCCCACGAGCACGGCATAATACAGTGAACAAGAAAGGACTTTCCAAGTAATGTGGGACTAGTGCAGGAGAGGAAAACTATCTTTTCGAAATACACTTTACAAAAAGATAATTGCTTTCGACGATCTAGTAAAATAAAGACGTTGAAAAATCTTAAAGACTTTGGTTATATGGATAAACACTAAATTTGGATACGCATATTCCATGTTTTTAATTAAAGTGTCTCATTCTGAGCAATTCTAGGGCCACGGGCACCGCCCTGTGCATGATATTCATGAAGATCGATGGAGCCGAATATTCAGATGCTCTATATAATTAGAAAGTTTCAAAATATAATTACCCCCTTCATATGATTGATATCCTTGGTAACTTTGAAAGATTAAAGATCTACTTCGCTGTTTATTCCATCTTCTTTTTTCCCCTCTTCCCTCGTATTCGTCCACGGGGTAGGATATAACAACTAAGCTAGTATGAGCACCGCGCCCACCTCCGATTGTCGCGACCAGGTTGCTACCTCCGGCCCTCACCAACGCCGCTGCCTCCCCATTGCAATCAACCAAGGCAGTGGTCGTTTCGACGGCCAGCGATAGCTTACATAGCAGCGATGGCAATTCGCGGTAGTCCAATGGGCGTTAGGTGGTTAGAGAGGGAGAAGACAGAGTTAGCATCTCGGCCGGCTAGGGGTGAGCATTTGTCCAAGGTCAACCCTGGACCGACCTTGGACCGGCCCAACCCCATCGGTCTTGGTTCGGTTCCCAGGAGGATTGGGTCGGTCCTTGGTCTTGGGATCCCTGGATCAACACTGTGCGGGTTGGTCCTCGATCCTGGGATTTTAGGGTCGGTCCAACCCGGACCAACCCTGACTGTATATATTATATATAATATATCTAAAATATATTATTATATATTATTTATAATTTTTTTATTCTATTCTAAAGAGAACCCCAAGTGAAATGGGGTGAAATAGCTCTACACGGCGTCCAAAACGGCGTTAAACAACATTCAACAGGTTCCTCACGGTGTCCTCCTCCAGTACTCGTTCCCTTTAGTCTTCTTTGTCCTCTCTCTTTAGTCTTTAGTTTGCCAAAATCAAAAGAAAAAACTTCCCTGTTCGCCCCACTCGCCTTTGGCCGCTCACCGCTCAACACTCGCCACGCTCAACACTTGCCCCACTCGAATGTAGGAAGATGTTTTTGCAAATGGTGTTACAAGTATTATTGACAGATGATTACATGAACTTCCCATCTTGCCCCATATCTCTATGAGCGGTCTTAATCGTTTTTATGGTTTCTTGCTTTTAGCTGGTGTGAAATTTCTATTGTTGCCTTATCTTAAATTTGTTGAATATGTACTGGTATTTATAGTTTGGTTGCATAACGCCGCATTGTCGATGGATATGTAATTTGAAATAGTAGGTTTGCCTTTTCAAGGAGTACAAAAAATGAAACAAAAAAATTATCGATTAATCCTGGATTGACCCTAGAATCAGACTGAACCCATTGGGTCGGTCCAGTCCTCGATCTCAAACTCAATAGGGTCGGTCCTTGGTCCCAAAAATTGAGGACCAACACTGTGCGGGTTAGTCCTAGGGTTAGGGAGCGGACTGGCCCAACCCGGACCATGCTCACCCCTACGGCCGGCATGTGTATGGTTTTTCACAACATTATTGATGATATAGCTCGACCTACTTCCTCAATATGGTTGCTAAAGCGTCTACTCAATCAAAGACAGATTAAAAAAAATGTATGTTTAGGCCCTGAAATGAAATCATCGGTAGCAATTGAAGACCAATTCCATCCTCTAAAAAGTCAAAGTGAACGTGAGATTTGCAGGCGTAATTCACACTCCAATTCTCAAAAAGGCAGCCGTTTTCTCCATCGAATTTCATGATGGTATTTGGGTCAGTTCTTGGGAATGTCTACGTCCCGCTTGATCGATATGTCGCATGCCACGAATCATTGAGTGTTAAGGAAATCATTGTTCTGCGTATGTCGATTCTTCTGTCTTCAGTGGCAAGCCTCTCTTTAGATTTACGTGTGTGTAAAAGCTCAGGCCAATTCATAGCCGTTAGCAAAATTTAAGGGAAAAAAGTTTAATCATAGCCAAAATTAATAAATAATCACATTGAAGATGCAATGTAAAAGTCGAGGGTCTCGCCACTGCCAGTGGCGAGCAACAGTCGTGCAACCCTTTTCAATGCCCTGGCCAAAGCTCGGCCATGGCTGGGCTATGGAGCGGGAGGGGGACCCTAGCTCCGAGGCTGGAACTTGGAATCGATTCGGTCTGATTCCATCTAGAATTGGACTCATCAAGCTTAGTTCCTATCCATTCTAAAAATGAAAGTAGACCTGAATGTCAGTTAAATTGCTCCGTAAAATTTATGTCAAAAATCAATCTTAGAATCCCCTAACATAACTCACTCATCAATGCCCTCTATCAAGTATCAATGACCGGCTGCATTGTGAGCTAATCATCTGTTCCTGTTCTTTTGACTGTCGGTCAAATTTGCAACAATGCGTGGACAAAAATTGTTACTGTTTCTTGTCTCCATCGCCATGCTCTGCAGCAGGAATGAACACTTTTCACCCTCTCCTTTATCTCTGCTCTGTATGTTTCCCTCACAATCATTACCATTTCGAAACTTTATTCCCGCGGAACACATCAGATCATAATTGCTTAGAGAGAAATGGCATGCCATGAACTGCTGGCAGGGTTGGAAAAAAATTTAAAGTAGTAATGGTGAATCGAAAGCTCACTTTTTTAGCCTGCAAACTTTAGTTTCCTTCAAACTTTAGTCACCTTTCTTCTATTCAGAACTACCCTTTTTTCCCTCTGCTCGTGTTTTTAAAACTCTGCTTCAAATCATCACGGTCCAGCTTTATACCCTCCATTTGATTCCTTCCAAGAGTATTATATATATGCACACTCATTCACTTAAGTAGGGGCTGAGCTGAAAACCCTCAAACAAATTCTTGTTCTTCAAAGCAAGAATCAAGTACATAGCTGATTTCGGTCTAGACTTGGAGTGGAGATGTCTACTGTTGCTGCGGGAACTTTGGCCTTGCCAACTCCTCAGGACGCTGCTTTCCAGAGTTTAGACGAAACCGAAGATGCGAAGATTGAGCACGGGGGTGTGCGTGCAGGAAGTGATCACAAGGAAGAAGATGACGATGGGAAGCTAAGGTCTGAAGAAGAGCAAGATTCTGGTCCAAAGTTCTCTCTTAAGGAGCAAATTGAGAAGGACAAGGTTATTAATTTTTGACATGGTTTATGTCACTTTACTTCTCTAATTGTTTACCTCATGTATCAACTTTTCTGTTTATGTTCTTTTTTGTTAGGATGAGGGAAGACTGAAGAGATGGAAAGAACAGCTCTTTGGAAGAGCGGATGTCTCTGCCGTTGAATTTGGGGGTAATTTCCTTTTTCCAATATCTTAAGCTGAACATATTTATACCTAAACAGGTTTTGACTTAGAAACCACGAGGAAAATAATTTATGTACACATTCTATGTAATCACTATTGTGTCATGAAATCTGTTCATTTGAGTACGTTTAAGTGGTTACTAGCGCACTCGTTGTCGATCCAATGTCGTCGATGTATATTAAGATAGAGTATTTCCTTGCAACCTTGCCTTTTGTGGAACTATTACTCAGTACATCGTCAGTGGAAGAAACCGCATTTCTTTGACAGTGAGATCATACTCCAACAGAGCCAAGATCCTTCGATTTAAATTGAAATGATTTCACCTGATTCTCTGTTTGTTCTGGTGAAGTCGGGAATAATGCGCCAGAAGTGAAGATACTGACCCTTTTGATCCAATCCCCGGGAAGACCGGACGTTAACTTGCCATTTTCAATGGCTGCTTCAAACAACCCAAAGCGCAGTCTCTTTACGCTCAAGGAAGGATCGCGGTACCGCACGAAATTCTCATTCAACGTCTTCAATAGCGCCGTGTCCGGCCTCAAGTACGCATACACTGTCTGGAAGACCGGCATAAGAGGTAGAAACAACAGCTCAATTTCCGTCACAAAATGTATTTCGCTTCTGATGTTCTAAAATCATGTTCAATTTTTCCGAATGATGATGACAGTGGAGAACACCAAAATAATGATTGGGACTTTCAGTCCCAGGCAAGAACCGTACACATATGAATTGGAGGAACAGATCATCCCTTGTGGTCTATTTGCCAGAGGCTCTTATTTTGTCAGAACTAAGGTAACTTTTATAAAGTTCAATCACCAAGACACTGGTTTCAGGAATATGTATTTTGACTGATTCAGATATTTCTCTCTCTCTCTCTCTCTCTCTCTTCCTTCTTGGGTTTACCTTGTGTTCATTCATTGTTGATTCATGTGGTTTTCTGCAGTTTGTGGATGATGAAGGGAAGTGTTACATGGACTTCAGCTACTACTTTGAAATCAGAAAGAATTGGCAATGACCATCTATCTGGTGGGCTCTAGTACACCTTTTTAATGAATAGTTATGTGAAACAGCTGGTAAAAGCCGCTGAAATTGCTTTCTCTTCCTGTGATTGGACTTTGTCTGTTCCTGTCAAGGCTCTGAAATATTCGAAAAGAGATAATAAAATCTCTGGTATGGATATCTGATGTAAGGGAATTTCTGGGCTCTGGGTTTAACACTCTTCACAGTACTTTCTCCATCCAACTGCAAAACGCCGGTAGTCCAAACTCCAAACTCTCTGATTATTTGACGATAAATGATTCGTTCTGATTAAAGAAAGGAGACGGATTCAAAAGCCATAAAAAGCATGATCATAAGAGAAAGTAAATGGCTCAACAGGATGCATGTTGAAAACAAGCTGTTGAAGAATTATCTCACATCGATTAACAACGGGTCCTAAATGCTCTTTATATTTATGTGGTCTCCCTCCACTTAAAAGCTTAAGCTTTTGGATTGGATTTTCTAACACGGTATCAGAGCTAATGATATCCCTTTCGCGAATGTGTGGTAAAAATTCCATGTGAATGTGTGATGTCCAAATTTCATGTGCTGCTCGTAATCCGACTTGCACGTGAGTCGGAGTGTTGAAGAATTATCCTACATCGATTGATAACGGATCCTAAATGCTCTTTATATTCATGTGGTCTCCCTCTACCTAAAGCTTAAGTTTTTGGGTTGGACTTTCTAACACAAACACTTGCATATCCTACTAGAAGACTCGTTCTACTGAGTTCTGCCGTTATTCAATAAATAAAATCAACAATGGTTCGCCTACACATGCTTGTATCAATCCTCTGTTACAGGAAAGATTCAGCGCATTATAGTGCAACGCTTGGTCATTTAGGGCCGATCCCGCAACTTCAATCTAGCAAAAATTCGTCTAATTATGAGAAGCATGGCCTTGGTATCGGTGAAAGAAAGAAAGAATTAATGAATGAATGAATGAAAGAACACGGGTTTGCCGTCCGTCGCACCATCTGCTTATATAATCTACTCCGCAGATTAAAACTGGCAGGAAGGTTTAAGCATAAAGCTTCATTGGACGCGCAAATAATAGTGATTCTTGGGCATTCCGTGCCCGTGCCCGTGCCCCTGCGAAGCGTCCACGAATTGGGAAAGAGGATTGAGTACACAGCCTGATCTGGCACATGAGTAAAGACTGATTATCGATCATTATGTGAGACTCCATCAAAGCCAGATATGTTAATTTCCCACATATTGCATGTAGTGATGCATGAATTTTAGCACGAGCAATTTACCGATCCAGACGAAACTTCCCATCTCTCACCATGTTGCATTCTACTTTTTTCTTGCCTTTGACCAAGCAAGAAGAAATAATTATTCATAGCACGTCAAGTAATTTCAAACCCAGCTCCTGACTGGTCAGACCACATTATTGTGTCCCCTACAAATTTCTCCATTTTTTTACTAAAATCCATGTAGGTCTAGGCATGATTCACCTATTCATTCGAACTTATATTGATTTAAATGGCATGCCAAGAGAATGGCAAGAATTACCCGTCTTTCTGAGTCTCTAACCACAAGCACTCGACGACCAAAAATGATACACTCCAGACCGATTCAAACGCACTAGCAGAAAAGGTCCTAGATGAATTTTGGATAAGGTGTAAATTGCAGTGTTTTGTTATTTATGTCTATACATGGGAATAGCGTATAGCAATCTCGTTCTGTGTATTCAACTCAAGCATCTCGCATTCATTAGGAAAAAATCAAAAGACAAAACAACCAAAGCCATTCATCTAAATCAAATATGTACATTAAGAATGGTAGAAACCTAGGGATAGTCTAACAATGCAAACTCTATATTTAAACCTATCTTACCGCCGTCCGTCACTAGCTTGCCCCCTATTACCAACCAGTGCCCTGGAGCATCTTCCGGGCCCTTCACCACCTCAGCCGTCTCCACATACTTGAGAAGCTTCCCTTTTCTAACTGGCACAGGAGGTCCATCCGGGTACACACCGGAGTTGAGCTGAGCTGGTGCCCTTTTATCTGCACCGGCAAAACTCTTCTGAGTGAAGGTAAATGTAGTGCTGATATTTGCGAGGAACCCGGACTTGTGAGCGGTCTGCGGTGCTGTGGCCCACACCTTCTTCCGGATGGTGCAGTTGGGTATGTAGGAGAAGAGTAGGCGGAGGTGTAGCGCCGTCTTTGGCCAGCTCCCTTTGTTAAGAAGCTGAGCTCCAGTCACGACAAAGACGCCGCTGGATTCACCTTCCATCCAATTGGGGTCATACTCAACGGCTGATGTGCACACTTTAGAGTATGACTTCCACCTTATTGGTTCCATAAATTGGCCACTGGAGTCAGATTCATCAGAACCTCGCCACCGAGGGGGCCTGTCAATGGCGATATTTGATGGTGCAGAGGTCATAACGTGAGGAGGGCTCGAGAGATGCTGCAAATGCAAGGCCAAACGGTTGCATTTCTTTCCCTCCAAGTATAAGCGTAGACCAACCACCGGCTTCAGATTGCTAGTTACCTGTCCCAAAAAAAATCATAATGAACAATCTCATTTTATAGACCACTAAATTTCATCAACTTGTATTACAAAAGACCAGAAAATCTTACTGACATAAAAATTGAAATTATGATATTTTTTCAAGAAGAAATATTTGATGCAATAATAAGGAACATGGGTAGGAAAATATAGATGGGCTAAGGAGGGGTATGCTGAGCATATGCGAAATGCTATCTCTGGGTCTGTCGAAGACTGGCCAAATAAATTCTTAGGAAATAAGAGAGTGCCCTGGACACAATGGAATGAGTCTTGATAGTGGAATGAAGAAGCATGGGGAAAATGCCAAATCTATAAAATAACATTAGGCCTTGCAGATAGGGTAGAGATTCTCAAAAAAAATAAAGATATGGATCAGCTAATAACGAATCTATCATGATTGATCTAACGATGCATAGTGTAATTCTACAAATCAAGTAGTTATGCCCATACAACAAGTATTTTGAGAATAAAGCCCTTATCTGAGGTAAGAGCTCTTGGAACACTTACCTGGGTGGAGCTGACATATATCTTTGGACCCATGAAGCTAAATTGCAGTGAAGGACAAGATGCCTTTCTCCTCTGGTGCCTGAGAGGCAGTTCACAGAATGTTGGAGCCCATTGCCTTGGCACTTGAAACTCCAAAAAGTATTGTAGATCTTCAGGATCAGGCTTGTCTGATCAAAAGGTAAGTGAATTGTCACAACCAACTACGTTGAAAACAAAGTACAGACCCTGATTGGGGCAAGGGCGATCCTAGAGTATATAATCTAGATTCGTATTGCCATATGCTTCTAGTTAAGTCCTTTTCAATCACTCATAGCTAACAATGTCTGCAAACAGCGGTCTTTTCACTGACCATTAGAGAAATTTTGTAGCTGAGATCAGTCTCTTAGATTCAGGATCGCGGGCAGATTAGTTAGTAAATCTTCAGGCACTCAATTTTCAGAAATGACCAATGCACATCGCTGTCGAAGCAGAACAATAGCTTAATTCACAGTTACATACAATATATGCAGATGACTGCACCATATTCAATTGTCAGTCAACCCACAAGTTGAAAACATCACTTGCCCATGTAGGCCCAAAATAAGAGCACTCACATCGCAAATACAAGTTGATTGCATGACTCAGATAGCCACTGCCCGGAATTCCAGCCAGAAGAGAAGTGATAGGTACAAACTTAAAGAGGATCGCCTCTGGCTTGGCAGGCACCGTTTGAAGCCACTTCGAATGACTATGCAAGAACGCATCTCCACCTCTTTTTGAACAAATTATGGTGAGGCCCTAATTAACATCAATAAAGAGTATAAAAAACTGTAGGTTTGGATGGAGACTTCTGTAGAAGACGGACATAGCTAGCAATATCCTCACTTACATCTTTGCTTGATGTTTCTGTAATGCTGCTTAACTGCAAGGTGTTTGACTGCAAAATGCTATTAAAAATCTCTGGCACCTGTAAAAGATCGGTTGCTTCCATCAAAACTTCACATAAGCACAGCATAAATCTACTGTTGGGACAAAAATAGATACTTTATGCTTGCCATCTCTAGTTGTCCTCTGTATCAGGGATGAACTATTTCCATCTGAAAATAGAATATCTCCAATATCCTGCAGATTCCTTCTAAGATCAGCAGGAGATATCGGTGATGTATGTCTCTGTCTTACACACACTAAATCTTGACCTCCAACAGCCATCCCAACTATAATGTGTGTCCCATATTTCTGGATGAACCTGCATACAAATTATAATCATGCCCACCAACAGAAAATACAGAAAAAGAAGCAGAAAATGCTGCTGGCAACTAATTTTTCATGGGAAACATCTAGTACGCAATTTTTTTTGTCTCTTGAGCAAGTGACAGCTACCTGGCTAATGAGGCTGGATCCCAACGTGGTGGAACTGACTTCTTTACTTTTTCTTGCAACACCAGGGGGGACGATGTTAGTTGCAAATAATACAAAGAAATGAAGTAGCCATCAAGAGCGAGATATTTGGTGTCCGCAGTATCGAGAAGCCAATCGCCACTCATCTCGAAAATGGCATTAAGGTAGCCAGAAGGTACTTTCCCTTGTAGAGAAGATTTCTGGTTAAGTAATTCCGACATCTACATTGAAAGAACATGGCAGAACCAATAAGAAAAACTCAAGTTGCAACTTGCAAGGGTGCTAATATGCTAAGCAGCTGGGACAGAGGCATATGAAAATATATTGAGTGAACTAACATTGCTATTAAAAAAACAAAAACAGCTGCAAGTCATGATGCCACCATACATTGTACACCAAAACCCAAAGACATTTGGATTATATGGTAAGTACAATTGAAATACACAGGAACATGCTGTTGTATATTTTTCATTCCCTCCCTCTGAATATGAGCAAGAACATTTGTTCAATTAAAGGAACAGTATCCAATAGGATAGTGACTAGTGAGACCTATTTTGTCTATATACCAGTGTCTTAGATGTTAAAGGAAAGGACACTCCAGAGAATCTGTCTTGTGGAATTGTAATTGTATAGCTGAAATCCACGAAAACAATGAGATAATGATCAAATGTACCAATTGAAACCTATCAATCAGAGTTGATTCGAGAAAAATATAGTCCAGTTGCAAATTTCCA